GAAGTGTTGATGTTGATAGGTAGATGAAAAAAGCATGATGACAAACAGGCGGTTTTGGTGGTGGTGAATAGAGGGTCATGTCACCGCAACTACCATGTATATGAGTGAGAGACTGAAGTAATCATCAGGTGAGATGAATCATGTAAGGTGATTGAAAATATCGTCGACTGAAGAAGGAGGTAGGATATGAGAGTTAACACCAGGTCACTGTGAACTTAGGGGGCTGACTAAGTTCGATTTTGATAAACCCATACAGTATTCATAAGTGTCATTGATAATGGGTCTTATCTGATTCCATAACGCACTTTCTTATAATTCTCCTCTAGGTTAACTTGTATGGTGTTTCACAGAAAAAAGAGACAACAAAAGCTACAAAAGACGAACACTCACAGATTGACTATACGGTTTTGCTCACGAGGTAGTTAACACTAAGATTTACTGCCCGTAATGATGGTTTTCTCCCTTTGAATTATCCTGTCACATCAGAAGGCAACGTTCGAGATTGGATTCTGCAGGATGAGAAAATCTTTAGAGACCAAGCTTTTGAAAAGCAATCGTAATGACAGAAAACAGTCATAACATGCATGATAGAGGGTCCGCATATGCGTTATAATATTATGAATTTCACTAAGAAGAGATAGATAAGTAGACTAGTGACGAGCAGCACTGAGGTAGAAAGTTAGAGAGTAAACTGTGTGTATTTGAGTTGAGAGAACGATCTAGATAAGAGATAAGGGTTATGATGAGAAAAGAAATAGAAACGGGAAAAATTTTGAAATATAATCTATGGGGAGCAATATTTCACAGATCAGAACTGTATTCCTTGAATGATCTTGTGGACGGGGACTTGGGTTAACAGAAAAGTGTGGTAAATTCAGGTATAATTAGTTTCAAAAGAAAGGGAGGTCTGTGGTTATTGTTTGAAACTTGAGCATAGGTGGTGGTCTTGTTAAATTAAGTAAAACTCGAGGGGAGGTCAATGTAATTTACACAATAATATAAATGTAAAATTCCATACAGCTTAACATTATATTATGCTTTATGGCAGGTGCATAACTGTAGGGTAGTTCTTCAGTTGCATTGATCTAGGTATTTTGGGTAAATAAGAGGTGAACGACCTAATATAATAAATGCAATGCTTCATTAATGTTGAGTATGAAACAACATATTCTATCTGATTCTGCTACTCCTGATATTTCTGGTCATTATTGAACTTAATTCTTTGAGAGAAATAACATAATCCTATTCTTTGCTGGGAAGTTTTACTAGTGCCCTCTATTTGTGTGTGAATTTGTTTTGTAAATAGTATGAATATGCTAAAGTGCACAAGTGACAATTTTTCTGTTGGAGTGATTTAAAGTATCTTGTGCCACGTTGTCAAAGTCCTATATTGGAGTATACTTGATGAATGTGTATAAAGGTGGATGAACGCATAGTGAGCAATTATTGTATTTTGCATAGCTTCATAGTATTTCGAATGACGAGATATGCCCACCACACAGCATCATATCGATTATAGAGATCTGCACGTCATCTACGCAGCATCGACAAGAGAGTAGATATATGCACGAGTTTACATAGATATAGGAGACGCCATAAGAGAGGACATGATGAATATACGAGCGCGCATTGTTGAGGTAGCACTATATGAGAGGAATATATGTGAGATATATTATTACAGAATAATTCATTATCTATATAATAGTCTAAGAGATATTATAGGATATATATATCTCGTGCTCTTGTATGCTATATGTCTCGAGAAAGACACAACATCTATACGAGTATATAAGATTGAACTATACTCGTCAGACTGAAACATATTGCAAAGTAAACTGTATTTATGTATGAGCTGGTAGTTATGATATCATAACGATACACACATCACCACACTCATCTCACACACACTCACACACTTGGTATAAGAGAAGTGACGCTCGAGGAGTGATATATATATACACGATGCATAAGAGCGTATATGGGAGAGTATCTATCACGATATATGTATTGCATGTGAAGGAGAGTGATGAGAGTAGCTCTCGCACTGGATATCTACATCTTCACATAAAGAACACCATAGGAATATTAGAATGAAGAACTACTAGTTTGCACTGCACCCATCTAAAGCTATTCACATTTAAACTATTGGACACACCTGTCACTGATCGATGTACTGAGAGAGGTCACTCTAGGTTGAGATCATATATCACGAACGCTATAGTGATACTCGTAGTTATGGTAGGCATGAGCACGCACCGTGAAGACCGTATGTCACGATCTGAGCCACGTTCAGATAGCACACACGAGGAAGAGTCAAAAGTGTTCTATGAGTCTGCCGTTACTTTATCGATATATATATATAGTCCAAATTCTTAATATAGAGGCTGATGAGAGAAGCTTAATCACTCAATAGTTATCTCCATATATTGTGCAAATATCGTAATATGCATATATAGTATGACAGTAATTGCGAGACGCCCCACTGTTAATTATTGTACAAACACATGGAACATGATAATATTATAAAATTATCATTATTAAACACATACATTAAGACAATGCATTGTACAACACTGTCTCTTTCTGGGCTTGGAGTTTAAACTTGATAACGAGCTCCAAACTACTCTCTCTAAAATCTCTCTCTTCCCCAATTTTTGTGACAGATAATTCTAAAAAAGTGAGTGTGAGAGGAAAACCCTACAATATACGCTTAATTCTAGGTAGCTTGAAACTCTTCCCAAAACACCTGATTTAGCACGAATCGTTGTCTGTATGATCTTTAAGGTTTGTTGTTTGCACAAATATTCTTTCCTATCTTTATACACTACACCATTAAAGTCTGAGCCGAGGTATAGTAGCGAGAATTTGTACCCATTAGGATAACGGTGAGGCCTTTGCAAGCTATATTAGATATTAGACATAAGACATACTCAAGGTGACACATTTGAGAGATGAGAGTCTAATTGATGATATTATCAAATCGACACATATGATGACACCGAATTAGATTGAATGGAAACACTGTCTTCATATCTCTCGTCTTTCGGTCACTTTGTGAACAGTAAGCCTACACTACTGAAACTTGGATCCAACTCTAAATTCAATGGGTAGGCGAAATAGATGGAACAACGACTGCTAAATATCTGCACACAGCACACACACATTACCCAGCGAGAACTGCCTTCGATATTTCTGCTCCACTATTTGGACTTCGATATATTGTATTATCAACTTCGTGCGGCCATTGACATACATTTGAGAAACCCTCAGGATATGGAGATTTTATATGAATAGACTAATATCTTAAGCCTACCTAGCATTGTAATAGAGATTTGATGGCCAACCCGCTTTTGCTTCACTGAAGCTCTCCTCACTCGTCACAGATACGTTCTCTACTCTCCTAAGGTCAATAAAGAAGCTGCTTACTTGCTCCCTAGCTAATAGATTGTTAATAGTTTAAGATTAATTCAGGTATTACCTACGGCATATTAGCTAATGAAGACAACATTAGGGGCCCAAGATAATGGATTCAAAATTCATCAAAATCGCCACCGCCGTTGGGCCTTTCTAATTTTCATCTTGTAAACCATAATCTGCGTTGGAATTTCCCCAGCTCCGTAGTATATCATACAAGCCATACATAAATACCACCATTAATTAGAGGAAGAGAAGACGTGATGTGGGAATCAGTAGTTGAATTCTAGGGATCACCGAGACAATACTCAGACATAATGATAAACAGGGTACGAGTCAGACGAGCACGTGCCTCCAGACTCGTCGTGGGTCGGATATGATGACTAAATCGTTGTCCAAGGAGAAGCATGATTTTTGTAGAAGTAAGGCGGGGTTGGTTGTGCCCCACACCTAAGTCAGGATGGGGAGATTTGTTGGGTGGTGTCCCTCCTAGGTGGAGGTGGGTCCCACAAGTCAAAGTATATTTGTTTACTTTACTAATAGTTGTGTAAAGCTTCCAAGGGAAACTTAGTGCACCTGTCAACAAAGAAAAAAAAAATAAAAAAGGAGGGGAAAAAAAGATTTTTTGTCCCTAATGTTTATAGATACACACAGCAACAAAAAAACAAAGACTGCAGAGAGAGAGGAGAAAAATGGGAGAAAAGTTAGGGTTTTTTTTCCATAGTTCAAACCAAGATTGGATGGTCATTTCTTCCCCAGTCTTAATGAAATTTTTGCATGTTATTCATGGAATCAAGCTCTACATTTTTATTGGAGTTGATCTTGTCAAAGCTCTCTTGGATTGGTAGTCTGGGATATCCACTTTGGTGAGACCTAAACTTTATCTTTTGTTGATTTTGCTGAAACCCACCTTTATGGTGATGATATAATTGTTGATTAGTGATCCAAGAATATTCTCTTGATGTTTGTATGCCTCTAGTTGTGACTAGAGATGATATCTTGTAACCCTATGATTTTATAGTGGACGTTGATTCGGAGTTGGACCCGTGGATGTTGGCATTTTTGGCGAACCACGTAAATTTGGTGTTTTGTGATTGTGATTGTTTTTGTGGTTTGTATTTTGTAATTTGTGGTTTGTTGCTTGTATCTCAGCCATATTATTGCCTGTATTTTGTGGTTTGTTGCAAATTTTCTAATTACATAAGGAGGAGAAAATATAGGAGTTTTCCCAACACATTTTCCGTATTAACCAAACTAAGTGCAATTGTCTAATCCATATGGAGAAGGTAGATTGGTTCGAGTATCGCGATATGCACGCTTCGTACCAAATTGTGGCAAGCTTCAAATTAGGACACTTTTGGACTATTTCTTTAGTAGCAGTGGAGACGCGGGCTTGACAGACAGCAGCAGAAATATCACCATGGCAGAGGAAGATGACGTAGGCTATGTCGAGGGGGTTGAGGCTAGCGGTGAAGTTGGAGAAGCCATTGGTGGTGGTGGTGGTGGAATTAGAGGAGAGAACAGATAAGAGGGTGTTGTGGTTGGTTTGGTATGTGTTGTTGGGAGTGTAAGTTGTTGTGTTTGGGCAGACATATAAGAGAGAATTTGAGCTAACTTTGGTGCTACTGAGGATGAGAAAGAAAACAAAGGAAAGAACAAAAAGGGTTGTGGGGATGTTGAAGGAAGGGATCATCATGGTGATCAAACTCTTCATCCACATATTTTTGGGTTTCAATTAATCGATAAACAAGTAGTTAAGATGGAAATGTTCGGTTGCCTAAATCTGCAAAAATATGAATTTGAGATCAAGCTAAAAGAGATTGTTTTGTTAATAATTTTGTGTCTTGTGTGTGTTATTTCATTTTAATTTGTCTCAAATTTTTTTAAGTTCCAAGTCCACCAAATTTATAAAAGGAAATAACAATGCAAGGTGGAAAACTAAATTTTGTTTTTGTCAAATATGAGGGTGCAACTCCTTGAAGGGTGGAGTGCAACTCAAAAGTTACAGGGGTGCAAGTCTAAATTTTAACCCTCTGTTAGAATTTCCCATCTTTATCTTCACCTACTCCACTACACACTCCACTTCACCTACCTCCACTTCACCACACACTCCACTTCACCTAACCCACTATCACCTCCACTACACCTACTACCACATTTTCTTCTATATATAGATTGTATAGGAATTGTAATTTATCAATCTTGTAATACATCAATCAATAATAATACATCAGTTATTTTAACAAGTTATCATAAGAATCTAATATAAAATGAACTACACTTGGTAGATACCTACTTTGTGTTTATTCTTGCTGGAGTTGCATGTAAGATGGCACTAAGGAGCCCAAGAATTGTTTGTGTTTTACCTGTTCCAGGGGGCCCCTGAAAGGAAGCATATGCCATTAGATTCCACACATCCATATGGAGGTCCAAAATTACAGCCTCCAACGGTCAGCCCATTTAAAAAAACACAAATTGGGAAAAAGACATCTGATCTTGTAATAATTACTCAAGGTTGCACTTAGCTTGCATCTGAATTATATAAACACTCGTTAGTGGCCACAACAAATGCATGTGTAGTGACAATAGGCTATATTAAGTTGGAAAGAAAAAATAAAGAACAAAAATCATATATTTTAATTTTTGAAGGTTACCCATGCAAAATTTAGTAATTAACTGACTATATGAGCAAGATTCGGTTGCTGAACAGGATTGATTGTGTTAAATAAATGTGCTTAGTTACTACAACTAAATGAACAATAGATCAAGAATGAACAGGAATAAAAATAATCACAATAATATTGGAAGTATAGGACACACTTAGATGAAGATGAAATACAATTGGGTAAAAATAAACAACTAGGAGCACTTAGACATAGATCAAACCTGTATCAGAACAAATCTTTTACGGGAAAGACCTACCTGCAGTAAACAAGAATATCCATTGAGTAAATTCATGACAAACTATTGAAACCAAATTGACATAAACTAGTCAGAAGCAGCTAAGTTGGCATAAAAGCAAGACCAATTAAGAAACCTTTGAGTAAAGACTCACACGAATGGCGTCCAGTTGAGATTTATTGTGATTACTTTCAATAGACTCCATGAGAGGTCTGGGAATTTCCCAAGCCTGGTCTTCAGAAATATAATTGCTTTCAGCAGCTGCTAATATCAAATCCTTGAATGGAAGGGATTTAATTGACCGTAGAGCAACATATTCTCGAGCAATAGTTGATAAACTGCAAATCTGCACATTATGTTACATTTATGCTGATTTAAAATCATAGGGGGGAAATGTCTGAAATAAGTCCGAGATATGGTTTTTCTGGAAAACAGAATAGGACAAACATATTAATAGGACCTCTGTGTTTGTGTGTATTTGTGTAACATTACTGGTAATAATCATCACAAAACAGCAGCATGATAATCATGATGAGGAAGATGACAATGACAACGACAACGGCAAGGATGAGGAGGAGCACAATAAAGACAAATAGTAATGATGATGACAAGGATATTGCAAGCAACCTCCAATACAAACCACAAATCATACTGTGACTACACCTCAGTCAATGACATAATTATCATATACAACATTTTCACCCAATTCAGTTACACACATAAAATCAAACCTACAGAAAAAATGACCACAATGAGCATGTCTTCCAAAAAGTTCTGTTATCATAATCATCCTGAAAAGCCTGCTTCTTGGAAACAAAATTGTACATTCCAAGATCTCTTAAAGCTTAATGCTTGAAAACGGCTTTTTTCAAACACTATTACACAACAAAGATATTACTTATGCAAGACAAAAATCAAATTTTAAATCTCAAATATAAACTTAATGCAAATCATGTGGAATCTTTAGTGTATGTTCATTTTAACCATCACTTGTTGACTCGATATCGAGCAGATTATGAAAAATCATATGAGAATTGGGAGAAACTTACATTGAAGATAATTTTCAGTGTTTCACATAGCATAAGTTGAGGAAAGAGAGTATACACTGTTGTTTTCAAATGATGAAGCTAACTTATCTAGATATACTCCTCTAAACTTAGCAAATGAAGTTTATGCTGAAGAACAACCAAACTCATCAAAGGAACAAAGTCAAAGAGAAGAGATTTCACATTGAAAATGGCCAAGAATTCCAAAGTAATCAAGTTCTAGTGATTCTGCACTTTCGGAAGATCGAATGTAAATCATGTACTTCTTTATGAACATACAACCATGAAAGTTTTTTGTTTTACACTTTCTTGAAGCTTTAATGCAAATCACGTATCTACTTAATGGAGAAAAAAATCTGCAGTAACACATTTTGTTATCAACTGTTATCTATGCATTGAAAAATTTGTGTTGATATTTCATGAATATATCTACATTTTTGTGTATAAAAAATTATTCATAAACATATTAATTTACATATATAAAGGTATTTCAAATATTGACGCTCTCGTGCTCCTACTCTCACTCTTGCTCTGCGTTCTGGTGACTTAGGTTATGACATCTGCTCCTCCCAATGAAATTTTACCAACTTGGGTGCACTAGGATCAAGCCAAGTATATGGTTAAAAAAAAAGGAAAAACGAATCCGTTGAATAGTAAGTAAACATTCTGCCACTAAGCCTGCAGAAATATTTCATCCCAAACATTAAAGAATTCCCCACCCCCTGCCTGGCTGAAAAAAGAAAAACATACAATTACGTACAACAGCTGTCTCTATAATAGAATCATACCTTCAGCATGCGTAATGGTTTGTTTACTTCAGAAACAAGAGAAAGCATATTCAACAGCCTTGGACACTGTTCGACTTCATCTGCATTTGTCCGTTTGACTTCTCCACTTAATTGCATTCTAAGTGTAACTTGAAGTTTATTATCATTACGATGCTCAACAAGCGCAAATGCATACTTAGTTGGGAGTTCTTTACCCTCTCCAAACTGCAAAATGATACCATTGATACATGTAAAACAAGGGTTTTAGCATATCGAAGATTATTCAAAAGGGAAATAAAAGATTCAAGCAAAAACAATGCCAGTTATGATTTATAACAACAATAACAATTGTGATGAAGGTTGCGGTAGTATTAATGATAGTGGCGGTGGCATGATGGTGGTGGCAGCGGCAGTAGTAGCAATGGTAGTGAGTATATAATAGTGTATATCAATACTTATGCTTAATATTTTATAAATTCAATCAGAATTAAGTAAGTTTCATATAACTTAAATTTTTTTTGAACTTCTAGCCTACATTTTAAGAGGCATTTAATTTTTTAAGTGATATCAATTATAGTTATCAAACGGAGTTAATTGATTATCATTTAATTCATTTAGTTTTAAGTTGAAATATGATATTTTGTATTGTCTATTTTCGGTGATCAAAATTGGATTTAAGGGTAGTTTAACTATGTTAGGATATTTTGGTCATTGCACAGGCTACGTCGGCCCCACACAAGAAGTTTGAAAGATTCAATCCCTTACCCATCCAGTTAATATTTGCATACATATTCCAACCATTTTGAAAAAGGTTTTTATACAAAGAGAGTTCTAATTGTTTCCCAAAACCTTGTTTTACAATCTTGAGCAAATTTTTTTTTTTAGCCACTGGGTTGTCCAGATCAAAGCCCGACTAATCCCCAGGAATGCACAGGCCCTCGACAAGGAGTTTCCCACAAGTGCACCATGGTTAATTCACGGATTTTTCCCCAGTCCGATGGCCTCAAGAAATTGTTAGCACCTAAGAGGTTTCGATCCCTAAGCATTGCAGAGAGCACACCTGTACACACCCCATTTTGACCGACCCTAAGACTTGGGCTCTTTCTTCCAAACATCCGATGATGAAAGTTGCAATGTGCAATCTTTTGAATTCTTTTGCAGGAAAGCCGGATTCAAGCTTTAATCACAACCTTACACCCATTCTAGCCAAACTATTTTTGACCTTTTCTTTTTGTAAAAACCCTTTGTTTTTAAAATCTTTTGGTCGTGTAATTCCAAACATTTCTACAATGTTATGAGGTTCACATTTCAAATTCCAAGTGTTATGCTTTTCCAGTAAACCGAGCAAAGGTCAAAGTGGAAATGAGTGGAAGGAGGATAATTCTTTGGAAAACCCTGTTTTTCCCTTCAAAACTATCTTGCAGTACAATATTCAATCTGGCCGTATGCTTTTTCTGTTTGGCTGTACAAAAAACCTATGGCTGGATGAAAAGTGGTCGGCTGGCTTAAAAGTGTGCCGACCGGATAAGTTGTTTGCAAAACAGAGCATTTTCTGGGAAATTAGCTTCCATGCACGTGAGATATTTTCGGAGATATTTTCAAAGATATTTTTCGGAGATATTTTGCAGAGATATTTTGTGGAGATATTTTTGGAGATATTTTCAATAGATAGAAGCCATATCCTAAAACCTTGAGGATGTTTGGAAGCAAGTTTGGTAATCAAAAACTCTTCCTTGCTTTGAAAGGTAAGCATTGAAGTTTTTCTCATCCCTTTCTCCTTTTCTCTTTTTTTTCCTCTCTCTATTTCCGTAGCTTTTTGTTGTTTATACTTGTGATCCTCTTTGGGATGTGGATGGCTCAGCCACCCCTTATAAATGTTGTAATTTATTGCTTTCTTGTACTTAAATATGTATTTTAGCTTTGGATGTGGATAGCTCAACCTATAGAATTATTAGATAGTGTAATCTCTTCACTTTATTGCACTTTCTTACCTCTTTTGCATCATCCCAGTGTTTTGATCCATGTGATTCAATCCACACTCAATCTTGATGAGAATTTGTGGTTTGTTATCTTTCTTTCTCTCCTTCTTTTCTTTGAAGCTATAAGAGTTTCCTCATCAAAAGTGCTGAAACCTCTTTTCTTAATCAATTTTGAACATGAAAGTGGATTTTACATCCTTGTTCCATGACCAAGAAGATGAGTCTTCAACTATTTTGATAAGTTATATGTATTTCTACTCTCTTCTTCCCTACTTTCTTAGAATCCCTATAGAGTTTTCATTAGCTTTACGAGGTTTCACCTTAGAAATGGTGGCAATCTGCTCTCCATTTGATACCAATAGATTTGAGCATTAATTTACCCTTATATACAAAGAGATGAATGCATGTTTCTATCAATTTTTTTGGCTTGTATTTTTTTTTAGCTTTCATTCCTGTACATATTAGCTTCTGTCTATTTTATAACTTTTGCACAAGTTACATAGCATATTTTGCTATTGGATGTTGGATGAGGCCTATCTACATCTTCCTTCAACATCTTTATGATAGGAAGGAGTAAAAAAGATGAGCATCCTTTGGAAATGTTTTGTTTGTTCTGTTTTGTCTTTGCCGCACAAAATAGGGTTTTCCAGATCTGTTCGTACGGCCGACCAGATAAATGGTACGGCCAACAATTATTTCATCTGGCCAAACCATTTATTTGTCTGGCTAGATGACTTTTCCAAGCAAAGTAAAGCAGAACAGGGCGATTTCCGGCAGATGATCTCCTAGGCAGGCGCAGCTTCTATTACATCTCTTCTTTTCTATTTTCAAATGATTTGTTAGATTCAACTCTTGTTTTGCTGAATCAATTTATTGTTGTAATAACTTCCAACCCCACGTCTATTCATTCAATTGTTGTAATAACCTCCAATCTCACGTCTTTCTATCCATTTTATTTACACACTTAAGTATCTGTCGAGTAGCATCATGTTTCGTTTATCATGTCCATGCTTTGTATTCATCTTTCATACATTGAGATTCAGTTAATTTGCATTTGTGGGTTTTATCAATTCTTACGTGGTTATATGTGCTACCTTATGCTTTGAAATAAGACACATGTCATATATTAGTAGTCGAATCTTTAGTTGCATTATGTATATGTATTGCATTAGATATTTTCATATAGGATCATGCATATGTTTATGGCATATTACTTTTGGGGCTTGCATGGATGAGTACTAGGTGAGCATTTCTAGTTTTAGCATCATGTGTATGTCTGTTATTCTACTATGTCCAACGGTATACCATGTGGCTACTTGCTTATTTGGAATATTTGTATGAATGCCAGTGGATGGAGGTTGTGTTGCTTAAGTTGGAATGTTATTCATGTGTGTGAACTTAGTTTTCTTTGAGTTGTACAAAAAGGCTTTTTTTTTAAATACATGAATTCAAAGCATAACCAAAGTGAGCAACATGATCTATACTTGATTGCTTCACATAGTAATTTCTAGCATTATTTAATAAATTAGAACATGAGCATATAGTGTCTATAAAACTCATATCATGGCTTAGTAGAGGCCGATCTATTGATCAAGTGAGCAGGGGTGCTCAATTCATGACCTTTCCCCCCATACCTAAGGTTCCAAATTGAGGCATTTTTTGTTATGACGAACAGTGGCCTTTGCCATAAGTCACGGGTTTCCCAATTTTCCCAAAAGATTAGGTGGTGACTTTGAGATCTGGTGATACAGTCTATTTTTGGCATATTTTGCAATAAATGGATTTCTATAAAGTTTTTGGATCGGACTCTCATTTTATGTTACACACTGCACTACTGAGACTAGATCAAAGATTGGGAGTCCAAACTATCGGGCTCAATCGGGTACCCCTGGGACACCTACCCAAGTGTTACGGCAATGACTCCTAAACCAGATGGCTTTAGGGCACTAGGTGTGAAGATACCCTAACAAACTTAATAACTTGAGTTCAAAAGGCTGTGAACCAAAACTAGTCACTATTTTTTTACTCTGAAGGAACAACCATATTATGAGTCAAGAACATAATCCTAGATAACAAATATTGTAATTAACCTAATTAGAACTGTGCTCGTGAAAGACAAAGTGCAGAAATATCACTACCAATCAAATAAACCCTCGCTACACATACTCACACTAAGTTAATCATGCACAACAATAGTAGATTGAACAATATTCTAAGATGTCATGAAAACAATACTTGTGATTGTGCAAAATATCAAGTGTGCTCCAGTACGGGTCAGTTTGGTTCGGGTTTGCTATTGGCCCGTCAACCGAACCAAATCTCCCAGGTTGGAAAACTTCACATCCATTCTCGACCGCCTACTCTTTGGAAATCGACTGAAACAAATCTTCGGTTTGGCGGTCAGTGTTGGTCGGGTGCAGTAAAGAACACATCAGAAGGAGTGGATGACGATTTCAAAAAAAAAGTAATCCTGTAGACACCCCATTTTTGACTGACCTTAAGACTTAGATGTCACCAGTTGAGCGCTCGGTGATGCTGCATGTTGTGCTTGTTCTGAAGTTGCGGAGTCTCAGCTACGAGCCTTGCCTCCGAACTTCGGAGCTCTTTTGTGCCTTGCCTCGGTTTGCGAACCGGGTCCTATTTTCTCTGTTTTCTCTTCCCGAAGGGAGGGAGAGGTCTCGTAGACCATCTCTTAGTGGCCGTAGGCTATGTTTCGTGGTCATAGGCCATTTTTTCCCATTTGGAGCCCGTTTTTCGGTTTTTCGGAGCCGTCGGCCATGTGCCTCGGTTCGGGACCGCTTAACTACCTCCGTTTACTTCGGTTTTTGGCACACATCTTATTTCCTCCCTTTAGAGGAACACTGTGGCCCTGGAGACCCTGGAGACCACCTTCGTGGTCATACACCACTTCCGGTGCTTAACAGCCTGTTTTCAGGGCCCCGAACCGCGCGTTTTGGCCCCTGAACCTTCGTTTTGCATCCGTTTTGGTCCGTTTTTGGTAGAGACCCTATTTTCACTATTAGGGAGGTGGTAGGATGGTGGCCGGCCACCTATTCCCCTGAAAAACCAATTTTCTCATTTTGTCTCTCCAAAAGCCGGTTTTTCTGACAGAAAGCTGGTTTTTCCCATTTTTGAGCCACATTTTCTGGCTTTTCATACCACCATTGTGATCTACTCATCTGGGAGGCCACCAATATGGGTAGGCCGACCAGTAATTCTTCTTGACCCTTTTGAATCCCTCTAAAA